GTAATTCTTATGGCCTATGGTAATTCTTATGGCCCATGGTAATTCTTATGGCCCATGGTAATTCTTATGGCCCATGGTAATTCTTATGGCCCATGGTAATTCTTATGGCCCATGGTAATTCTTATGGCCCATGGTAATTCTTATGGCCCATGGTAATTCTTATGGCCTATGGTAATCCTTATGGCCCTTGGTAATCCTTATGGCCTATGGTAATTTGTATATCCCATGGTAATTCTTATGGCCCATGGTAATTCTTATGGCCCATGGTAATTCTTATGGACCATGGTAATTCTTATGGCCTATGGTAATCCTTATGGCCCTTGGTAATCCTTATGGCCTATGGTAATTTGTATATCCCATGGTAATTCTTATGGCCTATGGTAATTCTTATGGCCCATGGTAATTCTTATGGCCTATGGTAATCCTTATGGCCCTTGGTAATCCTTATGGCCCTTGCTAATCCTTATGGCCATGGTAATCCTTATGGCCCTTGGTAATCCTTATGGCCCTTGCTAATCCTTATGGCCCATGGTAATCCTTATGGCCCTTGGTAATCCTTATGGCCCTTGCTAATCCTTATGGCCCATGGTAATCCTTATGGCCCTTGGTAATCCTTATGGCCCATGGTAATCCTTATGGCCCATGGTAATCCTTATGGCCCATGGTAATCCTTATGGCCCATGGTAATCCTTATGGCCCTTGGTAATGCTTATGGCCCATGGTAATCCTAATGATTTTCTGCCTCTCTATTTTTTGAGTATTGGTTACATTAAGATTTATTGCACAGTAAAAATCTCTGTGATACGGAGAAATACAAAGTTTGGCCTCTTTTAACATGTGCTGAGATTATAGAGCGGGAAATTTTCCGTCCCACGGAGATTTTTATTCTGTAATAAAACTTCATTTACTTTCACTGAAAAATAAACCCTTACAAACGGATATAAAAAAAGCAGCGTCAGAATGATCGAAATGTTGTTTAAAATTACATCGTATCTGACAATTATGTATTTCTTGACCTTTGACCTCGCCCTCAAGGTTACTAGGTCAAAAATTTTAACGCCATTTTCGTGGTTAAACTTCCTTTAAAATGACACCCCATATGAAAATTAAGGTTAAATTTAATTTTGGACCACACCCCCTGGCGCTGTTGTCGGACTGAGCCAATTTTCGAGCTCGACCGAGAAGTATAAATTAGAAGCACAATGGTGAAAACGGGGTTTAATTTTGTTGGCTCATTCTAGAGATGTCCTGCTTACAGACGGACGGACAAAACTATCACAATAAGTAGCTGACGCTACTTAATAAACGTCCAGTAGAATCCGAAAATTGCAATAAAATATAAAATAACAATAAATAAAGTAGAGCTTATGGCTCTACTTCATTTTCATAGAGTGTTTAGTCTCACTCAACCCGTGCTCAATGTATTTAAATGTAATTTCTAAAATGGCATCAACTTCACCAGTATTGAGATAAATGGGACTTTTGATATTTTAATGTAAAGCTAATTTTGGGTACTACAAAACCTTGGTGTTTTGAAAAATTAGAAAATTCATTTACTATTTTTGCACACTACATTTCTTCAAAAATGAATTCAACACTCATGAAGTTGATGCCATTTTAGAAATGGCATTTAAAGACATTAACACGGGTTGAGTGAGATTGCGCGCGAACGCGTCATCCACAACAGTCTTAAATTTCTTCATAGAAGTTTGACCATTATTAGCTCGCCCTGCGTAGCAATTAAATTGCTATTAAATTCCTCTTGTCCGTCTGTCTATCCGTCTGTCCGTCTGTTAACTAGTTTTTTGCATCAATTGATGCAAGTTAAATAGTCCCAGCTATATTGTCCTTGGCCTATTTAGCATCATTGTTGTCAAACAATCAGCAACGCAAAATGGTGCGATATATATGGGGTAAATGAGGCAACCCGCATCAATGGGGCATGTTATTTGTTTCTAGTTTCCTTTCGTTGTCGGCCTTAGTTAACCTCGAAATCATGTCAAAATTGTGTACCAATTTTCCCCATTTCTGCTGCACCATTAGTGCAAACTTTAACTTATGTATCAATTTTCACCATTTATTTTGCACCATTAGTTAACAATTATTGCATGGTTCTACACAACACCAACTGGGTTTCGGCTCTCTATAAGCCCAAGACAGGTCGCTACTCCTGTTCATCAGGTAACCAGCAGGTTACGACCCAGTGCGATTTCTATTTATGAACCCATGACATCTTACATCTCAGCTGGGCCCTGGTAATGTCAACATTACCAGACCATTTGACATGCTTATACTATGATATGAAAGTATGAAAGTATATGATAGTGTGGACTGTATGATTTATTTGTATACCTATATGCCCTGGTAATGTATAGAGCAACATTATCAGGGCAGCTTGACGATAGTATGAACTATTTGTTATGCCCTGGTAATGTATGCACTGTTAATCAAGGTTTATGAGGGATGCATGTTAACTACAGCGTGTTATGATAATACTGACCGATTTACGAGTGATTAGATGGCTTTGGAAGTGAAATTACATAGATTTATATAAGAAAATGTTATATAAGAAAGTATAGAGTTATATAAGAAAATCGAGCATCAAGTGCAGGTGCACGAAAGCATTGAAAAATTCAACATCACACAAACAATCTGCCTGGTCGCCCTCCTGATGACTGCCATCATCTCCGTCATCACCGGTGTCATCCAAACCCGACGACTCCCCCCACGCCAACACCAACGCCGCCGCAGCGCCAGCGACATCAACCACTATTGACGCCACCCCCCAAATCAGCCCACGCCTCCCCCCCGTGCCAAAATTCCGCTACCCAACCCACCCCCACCTTAAACAAGAAGATCGCCCCGGTCACCACGTAGGACCCAACCCCGCCCCCCAATCTGTGCCACCACGCCCACCTCCCCGTCCACCCGACCCCAATTGCAACTTTCAAGACCATCCATCCCATCACAAACACTTACATACCTAATCCCACACATTCTTTAATTAAATTGATATATCACAAATTAAATCTTTTTTCTTTTCCCAATCTCAATTTTTATGAAAAACTGTCTAGAGCTTACCCCACACACTTACCCTATACACATTTTAAGATTAGAACTCTCCTTAGCTCAATATAAAAAAAAATACACACATTAATTGTACCTTCATGGGCCCGATGAGGCCTTTAAAAGGATAACTTAATAAATCTTATCTTATCTTATCTTATCTTATCTTATATAAGAAAATGTAGCCATCGTCAAGGCAATGCTTAGAAATGTAGACTTCGTTATCGTCATAGATTATCCAGTCATCCTTACATCTATAATTGACAACATAATGCCCTGAGTTTAAGGAATTGCCCATATGACTAACTATTAGTGTCAAACCGTACACATTATCCGACCCAGGTAATGAAAAACATCTGATGCAAATGACTTCTCCGTAATTTTTGTCCCTTGATTTGTAAAAATTTTAAGATTAACGAATAAAGTTCTTGCCAATACCAATACCAAGTTAGATTTGAAATTAACCAATCCTGAGAACTTGCACCTCTCACAGAGATATACTTGTTGCCCAGTGAAATGATTAACGCACTCTTGTAAATCCTGGGTTGACCTTCCGACGGATAGAGAAGTACACGATTCATTTCTCGTGTTTTTACAAGTGCACATAACCTCAGTTTCAATCGTGGAAACATATTCCTCTAGGGATAACCCAGAGTTGCTTAAGTTCTGCAGATTTCAAGAAGAAATAGATGGGGATCATCTTGCATTCCAATGGGGTATGATGGCATGCATTCAACTAACTGCAGCCTGGTAGTTCTGAGGTAACTCAGTGGAACTGGAGTAACTAATGCCTGGAAGAATCCTTTCAGACAACGAGATAGCTGATCTTCATTAACTTTCAGAAATTCTTGAATAGAGGGAGACTCGTATATTAAGTGAAGAATCGCGCTAATGTAGCATGTATTTCCTAAATTTGGAATTCCGAGATGAACTAAATAGGTTGGTTCGCAAATTACACCGTCTGTGGACAAATTTTCGTCAATATCCATTTTCGACTCTTCAGTTTCGTGACCTATGTCATTTTCGCTCACATCTACCTCCATTAGTTCGGTTTCTTTGGGATAACTTTCTAATTGTACATGTGATGGCAATCTATATCGTTTGGCCGAGTCACACAAATTGGTTTATGATAGCTAAAATAGCTCTCGTTGAACCAAGCCGTATCGCCATTCACGTTAGAGAAACATGCATCGATAGATGTATTTCCGTCGGTACTATTTTCGGCAGGAGTTACTAACCGGAAGCCCATTTCACCGAAAATTTGCCTCATTTGACATCCATCTTTTGCTAGGAAATTCAGGTTGAAATCACCGAAAACAATCACTGGGGTACCTTTTGTGCTATTCAGAAGATTTCTAATGTCAAGTAGAAAAGTTGTCGTACTGTACTGAGGACTACGGTATAACATACATATCTTAACATCGTTCTGTTTCCATTGAACTATTTTCAAATGTTTAGTGAAACTTAAATTGCCTTGGGAGTATTGAACATCAGATATGACTGGAGAGTATGAGTTACTCCTAAGCACCAGTGTTCCAATAGATGACTGGATAGTCGGTGAGTCTATTCGATGCAAAATAGAAAATCCTAGCAGCTCAACCATATCTGAAAGCAAAGTCCGAGTTTCACAAAAGCACAAAATATCCGATTCAATGTAGTTTCTGTCAGCAAGAATATCGTCGTAGTGTGCTCGGAAAGATTGAATATTGTGAAACACGAGTTTATTGGGATCTTCTAGGTCTGGTAAATATTTCAGCGAATATGGGAATGGTAATTTTCGCAACCTGGAAAGCTCTACTGCTACAGGATGTCTTAAAGTATCGATTGCACGTGGAGCATTGAAAGTCCCGCCAATAAATAATCCTGATAAAGAAGGTGCCCGACTCATAGCTACATATATCGCATCCCTTCTCAATCCTCGACTTGGAATATTGTCAACTGTATTTGGAATTGACAGACTGCGATTTATGAATGGAAATAGCATTGGCCGCAACCAAAGGAATTTGACGGCGAACGATTTGCATTCCTTGATAGTGCCCAAACCTATTTAAAGCCTTGGTCTCTGAGAAGATTGAGGTCCAATGCAAAGGAATTTCTAGTTGTTTGAGCAATTCCATATTGTGTGATCTTGCCAGTTGCCCTACCAATTTCTCAGAGAATTCCATAAATACAATCTTAACAGCTTTCTCTCCATTAGTTAATGGCTTTTTAATTACCCTCATTAATTTACCTGTGGCACCATTAAACAATCCGTCAGATACGTCAATATTTGTTGTGATCATATATCGAAGGCCGACTCTTAAAGCTACATGGTATGGCATTCCTCCAGTTTGCTGCAAACTTAAATATTCGGCCGACTCCAGCATTGCTTGTTGGGACGCTAGAATCTTTCCACCCTGTACTCTATCTATGGCATATGAATTATACAATGGACCCTTTGCTCGATTTATCACTTCGCGATTAAATTTATCACAATCAGCGTTGCTGTAAAACAACCATGTTGCATCATCTGGAACAATTAAGTTTTTCCTGATTTCTCTACTCTTGAACATTTTAATGTCTTCTTCTACAAGCATTCCTATTGACCGTCTGTTTAATGCAGTTGCAAACTTAGCATCATCTTTTTGTCTCATGATCTCCTTAAGCTCAAATAGTCTAAATCTATCCCAGACTGGATTTCCAATGATGGGTCCTAAAATGTCCTTGCTATCTTCGAAAACAAATTGTCCAAACACCGGACTAAGCTGGTAAAAGTCGCCAACAACTAGCAGACTAACTCCTCCGAACATTTCGTCGGTGCCTAAAATTTGCCTTAAGCTTTGATCAATTTGGGTGAACATTTTCAAGCTAACTAAGGAAATCTCATCAATTATCAAAAGTTTTAAGGCCTCATGCTTACATCGCAATGTATTACACGAACCATGATCAAGTGGAGGCATTTTTCCTCCGTATTGATTGGGTGGGAGTCTGAATGCTGAGTGCAATGTCATACCGCTAACGTTAAATGCAGCTTGACCAGTTGCTGCTGCTACTAGCACAGGAATTGCTTCACCACTTAATCCAGGTTCCTTGTCCGACATCCTTAATATGCACTGAACTATTGCAGTAATTAGTCTACTCTTTCCTACACCGGCCTGCCCATGAATTAAGTGGAAATTTTGCCCCGATCTTCCTTTCAAATTATGCAAAAGGTTCAGTAAATATCTCCGTTGATCTTCGTTCAAAGTTTTCATTAATTGGAGGTAGTCGTCTGTTGGTATCAACTTTGGAGGTCGAATAGATATAAATTTTGAAGTTGAGTCCCCTAATTCAATCGCAAAATATTGGTCTTCGGCAATGAACTCGATTGGAGTATGGTCAACCAAAGCATTGTCAAAAGTTTCCTCATCTCCCTGCGCCATACTGAGTCCTACCTCTAGCTCATTCTCAAGAAAACTTGGATCATATATTTGCCGCTTTTGTGTAATTAGATCCAAGCTGTTTTGATACACAGAAAGATGATCAATATCAAGAAGATCTTTGCTTTCATCCCGCCATGGTACATACAGCATAATTTGTTCCCTATAAAAATTTTCAGGATCTTGATAGAGGCCGAATCTGCGATATCGAATGATTCTAGAAGTTACTCTCCTAGTTATGCACCCACTATTCAGTCAAGCTTAATGCAGCTGTCGGTAGATTAGTTTGCTTCCGCCGAGGGCATGATAGTTTCGTGAAGTTATAGTTTGCGACATATTCAGCTAAGCAAAGATCATCTAATTCCCTCGGCCGCATAACATAACGCTCTAAAATTCCTTTGAGTGCTATATCGCATGAATCAGGATCCATTTTCTCCAGTTCGTCTGCAGGCTTGACGAAAATTACCCTGTCGTCCGGTCGATTTGTATTGATGAATGTGACATCACGTGAACTTTGTGTCATTGGAATTTTTAATAAACAGCAAGCGGCCTCTTGGGCGGATACCTCTGAGGATTTTGCTAAAGCATTGGCAAATGAACTTAAGCGTTCTTTCAAACTAAAATTACCATCCCTGATTTCTTTGCTAACTTGTCGTAAAAGTTTCGACACGCCTCGATCTGACTTGCTTATATAATTGACAACGTAAGTCGCGCACGCGTACGGGTCCAACACATATTGAATGTCTATATTTGCGCGCCAACATAGAAGAAGCTTCCTATTGTATGCATTTATATAAATTTCATGGGTTGCTCGCCGAAGAAATACTTTGGTTGGAACGAACTGAAAGAATGTAATTTTCTTCAGTCAGATCCAGTTCTTGAAGAAAAGTATCAAAGTTAATTTCTTCTTTATGTCGTCCAAACGTGGCAAGCTTTTCTTTAATGCTGGAAAATAGTTCTTTATATCGCTTCACTTGGTCCGGAGGAAGTGGAAGTAATATTCTAGTCGTCCTCATGGGCGGAATTGGAAAACCGAACCTACATCCTCGTCTTTTGTCTTCACAAGTATGCGAATGATTGTGGATCTGGTATGCAATAACTTCCTTCATGTCATCGGCTTCATCTTTTCTGCAGGTTATGAATTCATCTATGAATTCACAACAAGCTTGATGTGTTAGGGAGTTTTCTTTGTCAAACTTCGGAGCATCCTTAATCCAATCCATTCTATGTGTGTGTATTGACCCACGCTGTTGAACTTCTTTCCTTTTAAAGAAGTCCTGGTGTACATAAGGATGAAATATTCCACCCACGGGCTTGATCAAGAATTTGTCCATTGCCTTCTCTCGCCTGTCGTAAGCCATGACACATCCTATAGGGTCATGTCTTATGAGATCTGCTTTAGCATCGAATGTAAGATTGGAAACTTCTTTATCTGTTAGCTCAGTCCCATACTTTCTAGTGTGAAGCATTGAAATCAACTCTGGCCATTTCGTCTCTGCAGCTGATGTTGTAATAAAAAATGTTGGGAGTCCTAATTGACGAATCATAGCCATCACATCCTTTTTCTTTTCTTCTAAATATGAAGGAGAGTTCACAATGTTTGACAAAAGTCGATACCCATCATCGTGTTGAATTATGCTCTGGACACATTCCTTGTTAAGTAGGTTGCCAACAGTCACGATTCCACGTTTTTTCTTTTTCCGGATACATATATTTATGTTACTAGCGATCCTATGAGTTTGGACCAGACGGTAGCTATATAAGATCTTATCTGATCTTCTGCAACGTGGATCAAATCTGCGAGGTTCTTACTTTGCAATATCATATTATGACAAGTTAGCTTCTGGATTCAATTTCCGTTTGATTCCGCAGTAAATGGAAGGAAATGATAGCTCTTCAGCGTCAAGATCCATGAGTAATGACAGCGGGCCCATTCCTTCTCCAGGTGCTACTGCGAGGATTTGTTGATCTTCTTGCATAAGAGTTTCAGTTAAAGGTAGATCATTATCTTCACGTTGGGCTTTGTCACTGATGGATATATCTTGAATATTGTCAATGTCTGTTTCACTTTGACTAGCATCGTCTGGATTTACTATATATTCTACTATGTCTGTTGAAACACTGTTAGCCCAGTCGGATGAAAGAAATACATTTTCCTTTTTATACAATTCGGTACGTATTAAATAATTTGCAGCATGAAATACTTTATATGGTCGAATTGTTTGGAACATGTATGGATGTTTATAAGTCATGCGGCGCTTCAATTGAACCTGTACTGTACTCGTCTCATCGAATCTGCGGGGAATAACTTTAGCCACTATGTCCATGTCATTTGGAACGTTTACAACTCCCCCTCGGATTCCGTACTGACGGTCGCTCCCTAAGGATCTAATTTGAGCAAATGGTAATCTTAATACCACCAAACGTTCCTCTAAGCTAGTCATGTTCTGTAATTGATGTGGAATTGGAGGAAAATACAGCCCGTTTGACATACACAACCTGGGCACGTCACCACTCTTCTGCGAATCGTGACATGTGCCACATAAGAAGTATTTGCCATCCACTTTTAGATGAGCGAAAGGTTTCTTGGGATGAAGTTTCCTCACGACTTCCATTGTTGTCGGATGCACAGATGATCGATACCAAAGACCTCCACACGAACCACATATTTATTTAGGTTGATCAAGTATCTCAAAATGGAGAGATTTACACAAAATATCAAAATCGATCTCAGCCTTATGACGTGAGATTGTTTTTTAATTGTGTTATGCTGCTGCTCGGTCTGCTTGTAAGTTTGGTCTTCACGGCGAATAGCGTGCTTCATTCTGTCCCTCTCTTTTTCCGCGTCGTGACAGGACTCGTCCCCTCGACGGGTGGCGTGCTCCATTCTGTTCCGCTCTTTTTCAGCGTTTCTCGACGGGTAGCGTTAGGCTTTCCCACGGGACGGGACGGTACGGGATTTCGCTGTTCCGTCCCGTCCCGAAGAATGACCGGGATGAGACTTTCGGGACGGGACGGGATGGAGGCCATCCCGTCCCGAGTCCCGTCCCGAGGCTTGTCCCGACGGGACAGGACGGGATATCCCGAGGTTTTTTTATTTAAATTGAAATTTAGTTCTTTATCAATTTAAACAAACTTGGCTGTGAGTATGGGTTGCTCCTTTATTTCCTTATTGCATAAATTACACAGTATCAATTGCCATTCCTACCGACCGGCCAAATGCCAATGATTTCAAAATTTAAGTTTTAACTACTTATAGTGGAAAGTTGAGAAATCGCCATCATTTCGACCTATTTACATATATCATGCGTATCAAAAGTCAGAACTGTTATTTAGTTAATTTTAAAAACCAAATTTGTTAATTTTTTGAAAATAATTTTTAGCTATGATGGGTAGCATGCAAATATGAATTATTAAGAAATATAAGGACAACCAGCACCAAAACTCAACTACCCACACACGTCTCAAATTTTGAAAATAATATGGAAAACTCCTCAGGGTAAAATAAATATTAGACATATTTAACTATATGCATATGCTTGAAATACAAAATTACAATATGTATTTAGGGTCAACGCATGCGAAAGATTTCCATAAGATATTGTTATTTTGCCAATAACTGGAGTAAGTTTTGAGAAAAACATTTAAGTTCGGGACGTCCCGTCCCGACCGGGATGGACCGGGACGGGATGCCCTCGTCCCGTCCCGAAGCCTGTCCCGTCCCGAGATTCTTCGGAACGAAAAACCTTGTCCCGTCCCGAGTCCCGTCCCGCGTCCCGACGGGACGGGACGGGATTATCCCGTCCCGTGGGAAAGCCTAGGTAGCGTGCTCCATTCTGTCCCGCGCCTTTTCAGCTTCCCGGTAGATATAATCCTTTCTGCGCTCCGCCCACCCTTCTGTGTTTCCTTGTTGCTCCTGATGTCTCATGTTTTCATCCGTCCTTTGTAATTTCTTGGCAATAGCGTTTTTGGCAGCTTCTGCTCGACGAAACTCGTCGTGCTCCCTTTTCCTCCGCATTCTCTCTTTTACGCTTATTTTTCTGCGAGGCATGATAACTAGTCTCGCGTTAGGTAGTTACTAGGAAGTTACGTAGCTTTTTCCACGGCTTGCCACACGTTTCTCCTCCTACTGACACGTTTCCACTCGTTTCGTGCACTTGCTCCTCGTTTCGTAACCTTGCTCCTCGTTTCGTCACGTTTCTCCTCCTCCGAAAAATAGCTTCAGAAATATCCAGCAAGAAATAGCGAGGAGAAATTGTGAGGAAGAATTTTTGACAAATTCGGACCAAGACTTTTTCTCTTATTTCAATGTTTGTTTGAACTTCCGGATGACGTGATCATAGTTACAAAAGTGCAAAATTAAATGACCCAATTTCTATCTATGCTTCTGCATGACACTTTTTACGTTGGTATATATTTGTAGGTACATAGTTATTAGGTTTAAGTCGAGATTATGTAAAAATTGTCCACTTATTCTCAGGGCGAGCTATTTCTAACGTTGCAACGTTTTATTTTGTGTCCATTCCATACATAATTCGCAACGGAAATTTAAAAACATACTTTTTGGAACTTACGTACATAAACTGCGTAAATTTTATAAAACTAATATTGTAAAAATATTTGATTTGCTGACAATGGAGGTCTCCCAACGTATGCTCATGGATTTGGACCAAACTAGCGTCAATCGATCACAAATATAATTAAAATGAAATTTGCAAATGGCACTATCTGCCAATGCAAAAGCTTCGAGGAGATATTTGTATAAAAATAGGAGAAAATGCACCCTAAAGGCTGGCAAATTTTTAATTTTCCATATTTGCTGCGTATTTTCCCCTCTTTGGATGCAAATATCTCCACCAAACCTGAGCATTTGCAGATACTGTCATTTGCAAATGTCATACTAATCATATTTGTGATTGATTGACGCTAGTTTGGTCAAAATCTATGAGCATACGTTGGGAGACCTCCATTGTGAGTGCACAATTTTAGTGCTACCTATGTAT